CAAGTCATGTGACAATGTGGCAACTTTTAGTAGCAGACTCGCAAATTACCTTGATCTAACTACCCTAAGCTCTATATTAAAATGCGACAAATCCCTCGATGAGCTATTCCAAGTGGGGCCCAAAACATATAAACACCATTGTTTTCATAACTAGGCTTTGGTCTCAACTATCCGGCGGAATGTTAATACACGAAACGCATATCCCAATGCTCCTCCTATGCATGTCATCCATGCTAGAGTATGAATTCTTCTATACAAATTGATCTGTGCCACAATAGACACTGTTTCTCTCAGCAAGAGAAAGATACGTATTATTAGTATTAGTATTATTATTATCAGACATTCAGGCATTCATTCGAAAGGTCATCCGATGCAAGAAAACATGGTTGGCGGCATCCGGTTTCGGATTTGCCTGTCACTGTGGCCAGCCACAGGACGCCTGCGCCTACAGAAGGACCATGGATGGCTTGCGCTGCACCACCCACAGCTCCATCCACACACCCCATTTCCAGTGTAAATCCGAAGGAATAAGACCGGGAGACATGTGGATGGGAGCCACGTTTCATCAACCGAGCCGGCTCCCACTCCTTCACAGGCAAACACAAGCACGCTGTATTTGGGGAATCAAGTACACACAAGGCGGTGGCTGAACCGTAGTCCGCTCCACACTGAGTGCATGGAACCACTCTTCGAGCATAGCACGATCACAAGGACCGTGCACTCCGTCCCCTCCAGCAACGACCAACTGTCTCCTGGAGCCAGTATGGACGAGGAAGTGGATAATATACAGGTAGGCACCTTGTCAACATGCACATCAAGACCAGCCACACCTGGGATGTCAAACAACAGCCAATCATTCGAAATGCCCATATCGATTGGCTGGCTTGCCGAACTACCTCCCCGTGGTGCCAGCTGGGTGGTTCGGGTGTACCCCGTTCCAGCAAAGTGTTCGGCGACAATGTTCCACCTCCGTGGGGCATTGTATTCCAGCGATTGTGCTGACTTCTTGGGGAGTGTTGGGCCCCTGTTTAGTAATCTACCAAACAAAGGCGCATGCGCTGATCATTCAGTCAAAGCCTCCCAATGGGCGCGATTCCCTAAATTCGCCCCGCTGCCTTGCGGGTAGGTTATTTAGCCAAAGGCTCGGGGTGGAGTCCCCTAAGTCAACTCCCTACTTCGGCTTGGGCAACCGGGTAGTATCACGCCCTCTCACAAAACCATGGACTTCACTACAACGCGCTCATCAGCTACTGTTCCTGCTACTCACTTTCACGCTACTCCATCACACGCCAATTGTTTGTTTGCTAACAATCCTCACTTTCCGTTACCCGATTCATCTGCTCAACCATCTGGCTGCGATTCCGGTTGCTCCGCAGATCAAGGAATTCAACCTATGGCTCCCCTTCGTCCCCGATCCTCGTTCCGTCTGGCGTGCTTCAACGTCCGGACACTCATGCAGATTGGACAGCAAGCCGGTCTAGCGCGCACACTAGATTCCCTAGACATTGATGTCTGCTGCCTTTCAGAAACCCGATTGCAAGATCCCAGCACTGTGCTTACATTGACATCCGCCACTGACCACGAAGCCAGATATCACCTGCGTCTTTCTGGAGATCCAGAAGCAAGCTCAGCGTGTTTGGCTGGTGTAGGTATAGCACTGAGGGGCAAGGCCGAGGCGGCACTACTGGACTGGTTCCCGATTAACAGCCGACTATGTGCAGTTCGGCTTCGGGGTTCATGTAGAATCAACAGGCAACGCGCAGAGAAACGCAACTTGTTTGTGATCTCTGTGTACGCTCCAACTGACTGCAGTGGCGACTCGGTCAAGGATGATTTCTACCAAGATCTACAACAGCTCTTGACTAATGCCAAAAACTCGGATGTCGTTATCCTTGCTGGGGATTTTAATGCACGGGTTGGCCGCCTGTTACCATACGAACGCCACCTTGGTCGTCATCACGCGCTCGATGAGAACCGCTCTGATAACGGAGAGAGACTTCTCACATTGTGCGAGGACAACCGTCTGTTTCTTTCGAGCACTAGCTTCAGGCGTACGAAGAAGCGTTCCGCAACTTGGCGCCCCCCTTCGCCAACACAACCTTGGTCTCAAATTGATCACATTGCGGTTAGCTTCAGATGGCGCGGCAGCGTACTGGACTGCAGGTCCCTTTGGTCCACTTTCGTTGATTCAGATCATGCTCTGGTCTGCGCGAAAATCTGTATGTGTTTTGGAGGATCCCGAAACACGAAGCACCACAAGATTGATGTAAACAGATTAACTGATTCCTCTGTCCAGGAGAACTATCAGTCTTCACTGGCATATGCACTCAGTTGCAATCCACCGCGAGAAGTGGAACAATACTGGACTTGTATACGGAAAGCGCTGACCATTTCCGGACAGTCATGCTGCGGTCTAAGTCGACGCCCTTTGAAGTCTTGGATCTCTGCTCGTTCTCTGGAGCTGTTCGAACGCCGCAAAGACATCTCCGCGGAATCAGATTGCAACGAGCGGCGCCGTTCTACCAACCGGCTGCTTAAGCAAAGCCTCCGCAAGGATCGCGAGACATGGTGGTCTGAGCGTGCTTTAGAGATGGAGACTGCTGCCCTCTCTGGTAACACTCGCAGGCTTTTCCAACTCATTCGGTCCACTGGCCTCAGGAAACCTGGTGTCAGTGAGGTCATTTGTGAGCTGGATGAGTCTCCGATCACCAACCAACAGAGGGGTATGGACCGCTGGGCCGAGCACTTTCACTCGCAGTTCAACTGGCCTCCACCATCCATCAGTTCATGCAGTACACCTTGCTGCCCACCTTGGCTCGTCCCATTGAATCCACCCAGCGAAGCAGACGTTTGCCTCGAGATTCGACGCTTGAAGCGCGTCAAGGCTGCCGGCTTAGACGGACTTCCTCCGGAGTTATTCAAGTATGGCGGTGTGGCAGTCCTTAACCAGCTAACCGCGCTGTTCGCAAAAATTTGGCATGAAGAGAAAGTGCCTCCCTCTTGGGGCGAATCAGTTATTGTCCCAATTTTCAAGAAAGGCACTCGCACTTCATGTGCAAATCATCGCGGGATTAGTCTTATTTCGGTTGCCTCTAAGCTGTTGGCATCCATTCTACTTCGTAGACTATCCCCAGTACGTGAATCATACTACCGTGAAGAACAAGCTGGTTTCCGTCCTGGCCGCGGATGCGTGGATCAAATATTCACGCTCCGCCAACTCCTTGAACATCGCCACATTTATCACAGGCCCACTATCGTTGCATTCCTAGACATACGTGCCGCTTTTGACTCCGTTGATCGACCTGCTTTATGGCGTTGTTTACTAAAGAACGGGGTGCCAGAGAAAAATACCGCCATCTTACGAGCACTTTACCTTCATACATGCTGCAGAGTGAGGGTCTATGGCAAGCTTTCCTCGCAATTCGCTGTCAATAGCGGTGTGCGACAGGGTTGCCCTATGTCTCCATTCCTCTTCAACTTCGCAATCGAAGACGTTCTGTCGAGTGCCCTAGAAGGTTTCCAACATTTTGGTTTAGAGCTTCTACCGGGTGAGCGCGCGACCGACTTAGATTATGCTGATGATATCGCCTTACTTGGTAACAATCCTCAGGGTTTGCAACTCATTCTGGATCGTTTGGCGGTTGAAGCATATAAGCATGACATGAGCTTCGCCCCATCGAAGTGTAAAGTACTGCTCAAGGATTGGCTTTCACCTGCACCCGTGCTCACTCTCCAAGGTGCACAACTTGAACAGGTAGATAGTTTCGTCTACCTTGGGAGCTGTGTTTCCGCTGACGGCACTATCAACAAAGAAGTTTCGCTTCGTATCGCTAAAGCTCGATCAGCATTTGTCAATCTGAGGCACTTATGGCGTCGTCGCGACGTCTCATTCTCACTAAAGGGCCGAGTTTACAGCGCGTCAGTTCGCTCAGTATTGTTGTATGGGAGCGAGTCCTGGCCGATTCGCGTGGAAGACATGCGTCGTCTTTCTGCGTTCCATAACGGTTGCTTAAGGAGGATCGCTCGTGTTCGGTGGCAACATCGAGTTACCAGTAATGACATTCGACGTGGCATCTTGGGGAATGCAAGTATTTCCTTCAACAAACTGGTTTTGTTGCGCCAGTTAAGATGGCTCGGTCATGTCCTACGCATGGCACCTGAGCGTCTACCGCGTCGCGCTCTATTCGCTCTTCAAGGACCTGGCTGGAAGCGACCGCGTGGTGGTCAGCCTTCCACTTGGCGGCAGCACATGAAATCGCTGACGTCGTGTCTAGCCGCTGTTGGACCCGTACGTCTTCCAGGATGGGGACCCAAAGATGAGGAGTGCCAATGGCTTAGGACTCTTGAAAACATGGCCCGCAACCGGAATCAGTGGAAGAATTGTGTACAGTGTTGTGTTGATTCGCATGTTTAATTCTACAAACATTGAAAATGACAAAAAAAGAGAAAAATCGGCGTGTGACAAACAAACTAAAAATGTTTTGTTCTGTATTTTTGTCAAAATATTCCATTTTCTTGCGGCATATTAGCTGAAGTATGTTGCCCACCTTCAGCTAGCATGCCACGACGATTATGACGCATTGACTGTCTCTTATACACTGATTTCCATGGCTTTCTTGACTCTATGTCTAGTTACTACACTGTTGAGATTACTACTACTACTACTACTACCCATATTGATTAAAGTAAACGCATATGAAGACATAAATACTCGCTAATTGAGCATATAGAAGAAGTTGGTTATAAGGGAATCCGTGCTAGGCACAAAATGTCCGAAATTTAGTTAAAAATACCGCGCGATAAAATTACGCAAGTTTACCACAATTTGCGTGAGCGACTTGTGCAAGTAAGGAGAAGATTAACAAGTACGCAGAACAAACCAAATAACATGTAATGAATTTTATCCACATTAAAAATACCAAGTTTAAGTGCAAGTGAGTTTAGCCCAACTGCGGTGAATAAGCATCAAGAATGCAACATCAGCCTCAGCAAGGGGCACACAAGAAACATACGCAGTAGCTATTGACCTTATTCTCCAGAGCTTGAGTCTTATAGTTTTTGCTGAAGTTGTGGAATAACAAAAAACGAGGTTATCCAACATGTGTTTGGAACCATTTTTAGCAGTCTTGTTTATCGTTTTGAGGCTAATTATGGAGTCGTTTGAGTGGGTCCTTGACTTTGGCACATGAGCAAATACGTGTCATTTAATGAACTACTAACCTCAAGGTGAAATCAAAGCTGATTTCACACGCTGCACTCAGGTCCACTTCTTCTAACCTTGATCAGTGACTGATCAAATAGTGGGGTCTATGGACTTCCACTGCTAACCTCTCACATGTAATTTAGGTAGTTGTCTCCTATATCAGCCAAAGGCCAACTGATGAATAAAATCAAACTCACACTGAGATTGAAGGATTCGTGTACAGAACCAGCCGTTTCGTCCTCCTTCTGTTCTGGAAAAGCCACTGGAAAAGCCAATTCCATCGCACGCCAGAGTAATTCCAACAAATATTTTCCATTCTGTTTATTTTTATCACCCAATGGCATACTACTGTACTTTGCCAGGGTAACCCACAATTCCGCACAGACAATGCCGGTTCCACGTTGCAGAATTTTTATGGATTCGTCAAGTTGTCTATTCGCTTCTTCTCTGTTCGTAAGGGGGAAATGACTTAGTAACTCCAGACGGAATCCTGCAGGAAAAGGCGTATCTACCACGGAGAACTCGCTGGTTTGACTCAGACATGCGGTCAGACTGGGATGAAGCACACATTTTAGAAAGTTCATGAGCACAGACAGATTAGTCACTATTATAACCTGAGGTTTCGGTCTATGTGTAGACTCAATGGCTTCTTGATATGCGCGCTCCTCCCTGGTTAAGGCCAACTGAGGAATGAATAGGCGTCCAGTCTCATGGAGATAACGGAACAGCACAATGATATCTGCACGGTTTACATGAAACTTTGCTTGTATCTGGCTTATGAGTTGAGATTTTTCAATCAATGGCATTCCCATGTCAACAGGTGCAGTTTCGTTTTGTGGAGAACTCAAATCCTCCAGGTAGTCTGTAATATCCGACCATATCGGAGGTAGTGGCGATAAAAAATGGGGTAGTATATGCGGATGTTTTAACACCGCGTCCGTGAGACCATGAAATAGTGAGTTCCAGCCGAGTTCATTTGATTTGCCAGCAGATGCACAGCAGGACACAGGAATGGCTGGTTTATACACATGTATTCTGGCCGACTCATAGATATGGTTCAATTGCTCATACAACTGCTTAATTGATGATGAAGCGTATGAAAGATTCTCTAGACGTTCGATTTCCGCATAAAGCCACCCTCTCCTGTCATTTAAATACCTGATGGCGTCTTCGTGCATTTTGGACAAGTACATCATTAACTCTTCTTTCGACTCGATTCGATCACTCTTCAATCCGACTAGTAAAATAAGTGCCTCTAGGGAACGCGCCAAAATCAAGTCGACCCATTGACCAATCAGATTGTGAAATAAGTTCTCATCGAACTGATTCATTAGGGCATACTGCTCCATGTCAATAGAAACGACAATGATCAAAGGGGAGGCGGAGAAATAGGCCAGTAACTGTTTATAACAATGCAGACCAGCACAATCCCAGACGGACATATTGATTCGTCTGCTAGCTGTTTGACCGAGCGCATTAGGTCGATCGGCTGTCAACTGCACAGAACCCGTGTCGAATGGAATCTCGAATAAATCAATTCCAAATGTGCTCTCTTCCGATGAGTCTGCGTAACGATACTGGCCATCGGACATGCTGGTTACTAGGCTGGTTTTTCCACAGTTCGAAGTACCAAAAAACATGACTTTCAGACCATGGTAAGCGTGTGCTTCAGTTCGTTTCTCAGAATAGTATTCCACCATACTGTCCACATTATCCGTAGTGGCTTCCCCAGGAGGCCAAACGATATGATTTCCAGTCAAATCTATGGCGAATAACTCTGACGGTTTGCACCCGCGCCGTTGACTGGCATTTGATAACCATTTAAGCATAGCAGACGGCACATTGCGAATGCGGTTGTAGCTCAGATCCAAGAAGTTGACTATTTTCACGAAAGCAGGTGGGATGGATGTTACAGAATTGTTCGACAAATCAATGATGCTGAGGGGACGTACCCTTAGCTGAGGGCCGCCTGAAATATTTGGTAACACAGCAATCTTGTTGTGACTGGCCTGTAAGGAGTCAAGAACTTGCAACTTGAACAGAGCGCCAGGTAACGTAACCAGGCCATTATGCGAAATGTCCAGAATCCGTAAATTCACTAGACCAAGTACACCAGCACTGGTCACCGGTTGTATGATACAGTTTCGAGCAAAATAACCGCACTCCAGTCGCCGCAATTTAAACACATCTTTGTGCAGTTCACCGAGTTGATTATAATCACATCCGAGAACGCGCAATCCATGAAGAGAGTCAATGCCCTGAAGCGTGGAAATGGCATTACCAGTGAGATACAGCCGCTGAAGTTGGGATAACAGACGTAGTGTGTTAAAAGGAAGTTTGCCGCAAATCAAGTTGTATTCCAAACTGAGTTCCCTCAGTGTCTGTAACCAATGGACCTCTTGTAGTTGAAGGTTTTTGTTCTTTGCGATTCGGAATGAATGATATTGTCTGTAGGATCCTTCGAGTGCATTGAATAAAGCATCACCAAACTTGTTATTGTCTAGATGTAAAGATTCCAGGGCGGTGGTGAATCTGCCCAGAATACCTTGCGGTACCTCGGTAAGTTGTAGGTCAGAGAGTTCAACATGAACGAGATAGGGAGCCAGTTGCTGTAGAACAGAACATGTGTCACCATCTATGTGAATAATTCGCAGACTAAACTTTTCCCCGGACAGCTCAACATCCCTTTGAACATCATGTTCCAAGATTGTCAATGGGGAAACAATGTATCCGGTGCTGTCTCGGTTGCGTCCTTTGTTAACTACAATCAAACGAGTAGGTACATAGTGTTTGTCCTTTGAAGGCTTTATGTAGTGCACAATCGACCTTTTCCCTTGTTGACCATCCTTTTGTACTGTCCGAGTCGTCAGACACTGGTTATTAAACGACGAACGTCGACTATTTTGGGCTTGTTTCCAAGCCACGGGCATCGTAGGTCATCGATACCTACGTTTAGACATTAAGCGGTGTAAGTTCTTTGATATTGCCAGGCTCGTGAGTGCGCTAATTGCATCACTTAACTGTCACTTAAAGTACACACCTAGCACGCGCGCTCCGAACTAAAGTGGCCATTGATTATGATCAGTACTTTCAACAATCAAACCACGTGAGCGAGTTCACGGTTGCGATGAGCCGCTGTGTATACCTAATTGATTGTGAGAAGTTAACTAATTAAAAACAACAATTTGATCTTGGGGGTGTACAGCATCAATATCGCTTAGAAACCAACCTGCCACAGAACATAGCCGGTCCCAAACCTCAAAAACCCAAAATTATACAGGGCAACAACAATTTTGACGCATGAAAACGGCCAGGGCTTCTTCTGTAATTTGAGCATGCTGGATTCCAACCTGACATTAGTTTTTCTGTGTAGGCCGCAGATTCTTTGCAAATTAGCCAAGCACTTCACTTTTCGTGCCTTTTGGCTACTTTTGGATTCCTCACGTTGCGCAAAAGCAAAGAACTGCAAAAAACTTTACAGCAGCTCTTGTATAATTTGAGCGTAATGAATTCCAATCCGGCATTAGTTATTTTATATAAACTACAGATTTTAAGCAAAGTGACCCTTAAGAATTTCGCAACAGAAGTATGTGTTCACAATGATATAGCTTACATATACACATTGATGCAAACATATATCCTAAACCCAACATTTTGATTAGGTATAACATCAGCACAATACTAGATGCATAACAGGCAAACGCGTGCATCGTCATTCCATTCTGGATGAGTGAAGTGCCAAGGGCTGCTTACAATTCAGCATCAGTTGCAGAGTCTCCATAGGTTGAAACAGATTCATGAAACAGGGCCCTATCTTCACACCCATTGACTTTATCATCAGATGAAGCAACACCTCCAGATTTTGGATTTGGAAACTCGTCAGAGTGTGGAAAGGGTCGAATTGCAGAGGAAATACTGGGATAAGTGATTTTACGCCGATTTAACTTTTCAATACCTTTCGTACTGATCATGCACAAATATTAGTCTGTTATGTGGTTTCTAGGTTCTCGCCAAAGTATGGGAACTTCAAATCGCAGGATTTCACGTTGCTTTTTTATCTAGCAAAGAAGCCTTTTTTCACAATAATGGCGCATAACGTGAGATGTCCACTTTTTCTCTTGGACGCCAAGGGGTATTGCAAAGTATGCTTTATAGACACATTTCACAAACGAAGTGATATTTCTCCTTCGACGAACTAGTGTCTAACAGCCGCATATATAGCAAAATGAATCAGGTTCATATACAAATTTATGTTGACCTGAATGAACCATGGGCACATCTGAAAAGAAAGTGGATTGGTAAGTACTTTTCTATTTATGTTAAATATCGGATTGCATGAAAACTATAGCATACAGAAAAAAGGGTTTCATATTTGAAACCAGCAATAAAGGTGCAGGTAGAAACGTTTTTAAAGATCTCTTGCCTCAGCAAGTTAACAAAATTTTGTTTCCCTGTGTTATTTTCCTCATTCCATGTAAGGATGACGGAACAAAGGAGAATAAATTTTTGCGGGTGACGAGGTTTACGTGTTACAGGCCCGTAGATTGGTCTGACGACTTTTTCATTAACACAGCAGAAAATCAGGTGAGATGTTACTGTTACCAGGATAGTTGTTTCTATTGATGTGGATTTAATTCAGTGGTTCTCCACGACTAACTTTTGGCATTAATGAAAATATGGTAGCAAACTCAAGGCTTTTGAGCAGGAACTGGATCATCCTCCTCCTCCTCCTCATCATCACCATCATCATCATCAACAGCATCATCATCTACATCATCCTTATCCTCATCCTCATCATCATCTACCTCATCATCATCCTCATCTTCATCCTCATCCTCATCCTCCTCCTCCTCCTCATCATCATCATCAGCATCGTCTTCATCATCATCATCAGTATAACCTTAGCTAGAGGTGGAAAACACCTCAGCTCCTGTTCCGCAATACATAAGAGAAGAAAAATGACATACACTAGGTGCACTCCAGCTGAGTTACAAATAATGGATGAGCATTGGTACGGACAGCTACCAACCGGCTACTAGGTAATCAAAAATAAAGGTTTATTAAGTAAATTTATATGATTTTATAGATGAGATCGGGATAGAACGGGAGGATAAGAAGGATGCGAAGAGACAAAGAAACTCACAACACGACTGTCGTTGAGGGTGGCTTCTAGCCATGTCAACAAGTTCATCCAGCCAAGCGCGTTCACCGTCTTGTCGACTCCAACCAGGGAGCTGATAGACTCCAACCGAGGTCAGCTTCGAAGTGAAGGCGTTCATTCCTCTTGAGCAATTCATCAATTCCTCCACTCCTCCACTTCTTCCATCCACACTCTCGGCGCGAAAAGAAAGAAACTCTCGAGGGTCCGTGAGCTGACGTAGGCAACCCATAGCCCAGCCATCAGAGTCTGATGCGTGAAACAACGGTGCTGGGCGGTTCATTTCTTTTTCCTATGCCATAACCATGTCGTCGAATACGCTCGTTGCTCAAGCGGTGTTCCCACTGGATGTGAGCCAAACTGCAATACTACGGTGGTCGAACGTAGCTAGCTTCCGTATGCCTGCTGATCGAATGAGCCAGGTTTCACAGTCGTAAAGGAGAGTTGAACGGACAGCTGCGTTGTATACTCTAGCCTTCACGGAAAGGGTGATGTCGCGCCGGCACCGTAGGTGGCATAGGTTAGCAAAAGCACCTCAAAATTTTGCTATACGGTTCGTGATCTCATCTTCGATCCTAAGCGCGCTGATATAACTTTCCAGTTGGCTGAATTTCCGAACGACTTCCAGCTGATCCCAACAAGGGTCAGCGCAGGAGGCGGTCTCTGCCAATCTTGGAGAAATGCCTTGCACTTCGATGGTGTAAAGCATAACCCGAAACAGGTGACAGCCAGTACTAATCTGTCCAGCGGCTCTTGACACGTCTGGGAGCTGTCACAGATGAGAGTAATATCGTCAGCATACTCTAAGTCAAAAGTCTTTCTCCTGGGAGCATCTCCACACCTTATAAGTTGTCTCCTGTAAATGCAATCGCCATGACTTCGTCAGTAGATAAGTTGTAAAGGAAGGGTGACAACGGGCATTCTTGTTTTACACGGCTGCATATATTGATGGGCGACGACAGTATGCCGTAAGCCTTCACTCTGCCCGAGTTACGCAAGTCTAACGCTCGGATGATATTTACATATTTCTTGGGCACACCTGCACTTAGCAGACAATCCCAAAGGGCACATCGATCAACAGAATCGAAGGCACGTTTGATATCGTGAAACACGACAACGGCGGGCCTCTAATATATGTGGCGGCGCTCCAGCAATCGACGCAAAGTGTAGATATGATCGATGCAGCCTCGACCTCGACTAAACCCGGCTTATTCTTCAAGTATCTGGCTTTCACGAGTGCCAGTCGATGTGTGAAGGATGACAGAGACAAATACTTTGGAGGCGATGGAGCTCAGACTGATTCCCCTATGTCTGTTGCATTCCGACCCTGAGCCTCCATTGCAACTTGGGACTATGAAGGATTGACTCCAGTCTGTCGGGACAGTTTCTTGTTCTCACAGTTTCCCAGTTACACTAATAACTCGTGTAAATGATTCACAAGTGCAGGGCTCCTGAATTTGTAAAATGTTAGAGGAAGATTATCTGGTCCCGCAACTTTATTCCACTTCAGCAGCTAATAAATAGTGCGAAATGGGGAAGATAATTGGTCTAGTGGGCTCTTAAATATGGCCATTGCCGGCTCTTCAACAACTGACAGGTAACGCGCTTCAGCTATGGTATGCACTAATCGTAAATGAATCTCTACGGCTTTCTGTACGGCTGTACTGCCCCATCATTTCAGGGACTGTACTTACATCGTGCTATTGTTGAGATCCAGAAAACATCAGAACACAGGAGTTGGATTGTGCAAGAACAAGTAGGCTATGATTAGGCCGCTTTATTGTCGATTACCGACGAAGCTGGTTTTGTCATGAAGGCAAGGTGCTTTTAGTTGTACCGGATGACCGTTGAAGTGTAATGTTTAGAAAACAAGGGCACACGCTTAGTCGAACGTTTAGAACAGGTAACAGCGCTAAACAGTGAAAGAGTGCTTAGGTGCTCATGTACTCGCTTAACTAGACAATCAGTTTACAACCGAACAGAGTGATAACCTCGGTTCGGAATGGTGTGGTTGTTTAGCACGAGTCACTGTCTGTACGATGCATGTGTATCGGATGTGAATAAGTGTGCGTATTACCAAACGAACCAGTAACCTGGTCGTGCGTATACATTACAGCCGTGTTCTTTACGTGTCCTTGTTTTTACAACATAGGCGACGGCTTAAGCGAACCCATGATCTCTATCCGAAATGTGGAAGAATACACTGAAGGAATCATTACATCGAGTGTATGAATTGTTTTTTCGAGGCCAATGCAATTTTCATTGACAACAACAAGTTACACAACATGCCATTAAGTATTTGTGGCTCACAAACTCGCGAACTCCGGATTAACAATTCACCAAACAAGTTAGGGAACTGGTCACACTGATCTCCAAACAACACAACCAAAAGTGTCACTTATTTTGCAGTGATTTAACTTTAGTAGCCACGTTCAGAGTGAGAGGCAGTCAGTTGCCTGCTTCGTTCGACGGAGTCGTGTGATTTCGGTAACTACTGAGACGGCATGATCAGGGATCGCCTGGCAGGTGAGGTGAAAAGCGTTCGCATTCAGTGCTGCCTGCTGACTGATAACGCATTGACGTTGGAGAGGATATATGATGTCGTGATGGGCATGGAGGCTGCTGAAAAAGATGTCCATTTTATGCAGAGTTCGCAGCTCAATTTAACCCATGTAGTGAAGCTTTCCCAAATACGCGTTCGTCCACCTGCTATCGCTGCGGATTGTGGCACAGTCATCCCTGCGAGTGCAATCATGCCCAAACAATTTGTACCTAGTGCCAGAACCACATTTCCCAATGGTAAACAACAAACTTATCGGTATAAAACTACAGTAACAAATACTACACACAAACACCACACATCCACAACACCATCTCGCAACCGCGCTGTGTTA